AGAGTGTGTGTGTGTGTGTGTGTGTGTGGGGAGAGAGAGAGAGAGAGAGAGAGAGAGAGAGAGAGAGAGAGGACTTCTTATCCCTTGAAAATACATAGTGAACAATACTAGGAAGGAAATGGGAGAGGGAAACTTAAGAGATAAATGTGACAATGCACCTTAAACTTAAAGTGAATCGTAACATTTAGCACCTGTAAATCTGGCAAAAATGAACAAAAGATGTTACTTGGCGTTCGCAAGAGAGGGCGAGAAGGAGCGTAACCGTGTCCTCAGTCCTGGGGGCTGGGGACAAGGGAGGTGGTGCTAGCGGGTCTGGCTCCTTCTGGGACGCTGAGATGTTCTGAAGGTAGACGGTGCTGGTGGCCGCGCACTGGTTTGTACTCCACTGAAAAACCACTCAGGTGTGCTGCACATCACTCAGAAGGGTGAACTTTATGGGAAAGTGAATCTCGACAAAGCCAGCATCAGAAACGTCCTTTAGAAGACAGAATCATGCCTGGCACACGGCACGTGTGCTCCCTGAGAAGCAGGACCATCGCCTTTTCGCCCGACCCCTTCACTTAGAAGGGATATTTCCTGAGTGATAATTACGTTGATATACACTAAGACCCTATCGTGCACGAGAAACAAACAGCGCACCCCGCGTCTCCCTAAACACTGCTCCCGTGCACAGGAAGAGGTCTGCAGGACGGGCCTGCACGGTAGGCGTCCCTAGGGAAGGGGCGTGGCGGCGGCGGGGTGAGGCGACTGCACCTGCGTGGCTGGAGCACCTCACTGAGCGCGCTCCGGGAGCACTCTGCCCTTAAAAACAGATGCACGCAGAGTTCAAAACGGCCTGGAGACGCGGGAGGCCGTCCACACTGCCGCCCGCCCACTGACGCGCGGGCCCACGGGGCTTACTGGAGCGCTCATCTGCTTGTCCGTCCCTTCGCTCTCGTCCTCAGAGTCACTGGCTGAGTCCTGACAGCTCGTACTGGCAGGCGAGACCGGGAGCTGAGGAAGGAAGGTCTGCAGCACTCTTAAGTACACGAGCAGTCCTTCCTCGGAGAGGGTCCCTGTGTGCGACAGCCAAGCACGAGAGTTACCGACAGCGACCAGACAGACGCTGGGGAGCTCCAGCATCGTGTCTTATACTGAGGCATTTCTGACGAAAAAACTTATTAACATCCTCACGCTTCGCGTGCGATGCACGTGTTAAAACACCTTAGGGGAAGACGCTGCAATTCTCCAACGGGCACATGAGGGGTTTTGCACGACAGGTGACGACGGCCCCACAAGCAGAATTCTCCTGTTCAACGCCAAAATTCTTCTGAGTCGGTGTGGCGTCATGACAAGCATCGAAATGGGAGGTTTTTACCCTGCCCAGAACTTCCCGAGGGACACCGTCTAGGACACAGCCCCCGACAAACACACCCTCCCAAGAAGTCCCCAGCCAGAGGCTGCGCTGGCAGCATGACACCCAGCACTGCGCTGCCTTCCCTGACTGAGCTGCCCGCTACCTACGCATGAGTTCAGGCAGAATGTGGCGCGCTTCGTACCCAAGTGGTTTTCACCGACGGTCAGCACAAAGTAGAAAAGCCACGGGGCGCCCCCGCCTGCCCCTGAACTTCCGCCCTCCCGCGACAGCAGCGCGCTCAGAAAGGGCTCGTAGGGGAAGGCGGCCTGTGCGTCCGCTAACGCGGGGATGAGGAAGCGGAAGGTCTGGTCTGTGAAAGGCGCGGCCAGGAACTCCTCCGTGAAGGCCGCGAAAACCTGCCGCCTAGAAAGGGAGAAAGCAAGCGTTTAACGAACCAGAACTCGACGTTCCCAAAACCACTGACGAACGTCAACTTGCGAACTGCCCTTCTAAATCAAGCAAAGCCGAGCGTTCGCTACCAACCAGGACACCCCGAAATGAACTTCGCTTTGTCTTCCGTGTGACAAGAACACTGCCACGTTTCGGTATCTTCCCACAGCTACTAGAAAGCAGGAAAATACCCAGGTTTCCAGAATTATAAATTTACATGAGGGTGCAGGTCTCGTGGACAAAGCACATTTTTCTTTACACTGAGTCACAGGAATAAAGTAAAAGTTTGGCTTTCGAGTCTGTTGTTTAAGACAGCGCCCTGTCACAGTCATTGGTACAGATCTTGCGAAATTACAAAATATCTTGCGAAATTACAAAATAAGAAAATTACCCCGTTCTCACCTTGCGCCTTCTGGACAGGAGTTGTAAGTAAAGTGCAATGGTTTTAGAACATTCTCTAGCAAAATTTTTGCTATAGGAACTCGAGATAAATCGGAATATTCAATACTTGATGGAAGCTTGCTGTTAATTAACAAATAGAGAGCTCTGTAATACCCTAAAGGAAAGGAAAAACATGTATTTAAAATTTGGTACCTTATAATGAGGGAAAAAACATCAGTTTTTAAATGCTTTTAATAAACCTCCTTCAACGTTTTATTAAGGAACACGTCGAACGGTAGCATAAGCAGCCTGGACAGTGTACAGCTCCATGTGCCATCACCCAGCATCGGTGATCACCGCAGCCAGTTGCCCGCCCACCCTCCGCTCATCTGGAAGCAAACCATTTCAGCGTGTCATCAAAGACAAGGACTTTATGTTTCTTAAAAACACCATTACTAAAATAAATAGTAACTCCTTAATATAAATAGTAACTCCTTAATATCACAAATATATCTGGCCGGTATTTAATCTCCAATCGTCTCACGTTATAAATTTGATTTAACTAGTTTGCTTGAATCAGGGTCCAAGTAAGCAAAGCCCAAACATCGTGATTTTTAAAATTTCTCTCTTGAGCAGCCTCCAAGTGTTGAATTAGTTTTGTGATTTAAAAATATATATCTTGCTGTCTTCATGGACGTAAACACAATGCTCTGTTGATCTGTTGCTGCGGTCACCCTCCCGGACACTCGGGTTGTCCCACGTGTGGCCAGTGGGGTAGACTGTGGGTGGGTGGGTGCCTGAGCCCAGCGGTCCCTGGGAGCATCTCTGCCTCCCCACAGCTCCGACCCCGCCTGCTACTTACCATTTTGAATCATGTAGTGCAAAATCTGTTCAATCACTGACACCACAGAGCTAGCATCTTGTAAGACAGGTAAATAAGTGTTCTCAGATGAAAACACCTCAAGCATTCTCATGGGAAGTGCAACATTCAAACTGTCGTCGCCACAGTTCTGTAGCAACCTGTGAAAATGAAGAAAGCACCCACACACTCACTGGATGGCAGACCACCAAGTTTCCTCAAACCACCGTCACGCACTGTGCTCAGAATTATTTGAAAATTTCGCAACTGTACAGATAGCAATTTTTCTTAAATGGTAAAGATGCTACCTCGCGCTTTCATTCGGGTCCTATAGCTCACACCACTTAAATGGGCTCTTTTACAAACTGAATCCAAGAAAGGCATGGAAGTGACTTATTTTTAAGTTCACGCGTCAATCATGACTAGAACTCAGCGACAGGCCTGAGTGTGAAGAGCCTGCGATTCGGCAGAGAGCCCGGGAGAACGGCACCGCTCACTCAGCGGGAGTCCTGTCACCAGGACGGCTGCCGCGCCACCAGATAACCCCAGGGCGTGCTTGAGAGAAAATATCGTGGGAAGGTATTTAAACCTACGTTTTAACTTCTACAGGCCAGAATCACCAGCGGCGAAAAGTGCAATACGAGGGATATCGCACAGTCTCAAAAGGAAAAAGAGGAAAACCACTGTCTCAGAAAACGAAAACCGAAAGGTGCTCCCGCAGACAGCGAAAGTGGCAGCCGCACTTTATTCAAGCTGCCGACTGCGATGTTCACCTGCAACAGAGGCTCATCAGTCTCTTTATCTGGAACAAGCATGTAAGTCTCTCGGACCCATCCAACTGCCGGACGAACACAGAGCTGTGTTTAATTAAGTTCTGATACATCCATATCTGAAACAGCAAAATGTACAAACTAACTCTCAATCCATAAAAAGGTCATTGTCTACTAAAACACGTAACGTTTCAAATTTCCTTAGGTGGTAAATACTTAATCAAAACTAATCAGAACATAAGTAGTACATTTTATACATATTTTAGATTTTACATCTTAAGATGGCAGATCAGTCCTAAGCTAAATCACTAAATTTATTACTAAAAAAAGTACACTTAAAACTCATATAAATCTGAAACAAAACGGTTCATTTGCAAAAATCGGCAATCCATAATAAAACTGTACGGGAAACAGAATATTAACCGTGAGTTCCAGAGGCCTCTGTTTCTCCCTTTTACTCTGCAGAGCGCCTTGGAAGGGCTATGGGAGAAGGCGGTGGGCACGGCCAGGCTAGGGTCAGGGAGCTGGAGGGCCGGCGGGAGGCTCGCCCCACCTATGGCTAATTTACTGTTGCATTTGCGTTTGAAACTGAATAAACACTCAGGGTCGCTTCTGTTCTATCAGCCGGGTTCGATGGCATTTCATGCTGTTCGGCATTTTCGAAACTGCACACGAGCCATCTGCTCTGATCTGCTCCCAACCGGAACAGACTGCGGACGTTCGTCCCAGGCGCCCCCTTCCAGCTGCTGCCAGGAGAGGGATGCTCTAGCAGACAAACGCCCGACAGCCCCTACGGCACCCCATGTCTGTGCTCCTGGGTGATCTTCCAATCTACAGGGTTCGTCGAGAGCACAAGAACGGGCGCGGACTGCTCCAAAAAGCAGGGGATTCTTGCTCTGATTCTCGCATCGACGTCAGACGCAAAGCGGAAAGGGCCTGCCCTCGAGGAAGCCCGCAGGGCGCAGAGAGCACCTGCCTGCCTCTCTCAACTGGCTCGAGCTCACGTTCCAGCCCGCTCGACTCAAAAGGAAATGTTGAGACTTAAAGCCAACACCAGGGGACTGACAGTGTTCCTCTGTCCTCACTATGCATCGATGCATCTGTCTATGTCCCCACCACTAAGACGGACTTCTCCTCATCACCGATACGGCAGAACCCTATACAGTTTTTGAGTGATCCAACTATATTTTGGATATTTGAAGAGAGAGGTCCTACGTTTTAGAGGTTCCTATTAAAGCCTGACAGATAACAGGCTCTAATATTTAGGACGGGCTTCACAATGACCGAAGGAAGGCTTGGTGTGAAACCAGGTGTTGGCGACCATCATGGGGACATGGTAGATGGCTCAATGTATTATTCTGCTTGCAAACGCATTACCGCAAAGATGACCGATTATGACAGGCTGAGGGAATGCTCATGAAGCGGGGACAGACTGGAGGGCTAGGCCACCACATTTTAAAAAGCTGGCAAGTATGTAAACAAGGATAAGCTGAAACGTCGCTGACACTCACCAAACGTTTTGAGTCTTCACTCGGTTTGTAGAAAAACAGAAGCTGCCTCACCAAGAGGGTGAGGTTGGGAGCATTAGCGATGGAAGAAGCGCCACCAGACTGTGACAGGTGGGCACAGCGATCGAATGCACTTCTTTGGATGGAATACTGAAAACAAAACAATACGCAAATCAGCGAATACACAGGCACACGTCGTCATGGTCTAAACGCACAGCAAACGTTTGAACAGGAGGCGGGGCGCAGCCCAGGAAGGTGCCCTTACGCGGAGTTACCAGTAAGGGCTTAAACGACGACAAAAACCTGAAACGCGCCGAAGCACCCCTAAACGCCCACTGAAAGCCTCCCACCACTTCCTTCTAGTTCCATCTTTAGTTGCAGTTTGGCCTACGTTTGCACTGTGTTGTTTAAAAATATCCTCAAACTCGCCTATGAACTTTCACGTAAATATACAGTAATAAAATTAATTACTGGAGGGAATACTATTATCAACATTAACTTTCACTAAACAGGTGTACGAAAATACATACAAAATGGGTCCCACTTGGAAGAGTCCAAGGCTATGACTTAAAATAAGCTCTCACGTGCCTTTCTAATCTCTGCTCAGCTAATAAACTTACTTGCTGTTTCCTGTCTCGATAGCCTCGAATAAATGACTGGATAATTATTGCATTTTTCAATCTTCGCCTTTCTTCCTAAAAACGGACGGAGGAGAAAACAGTCAGAACCCGTGAAAATGACATTCAGATAGTAAAGACTTTTAGAAAATCACTAGTGTATAGTTCACAAACCACAACGTTCGCTGTGAAGTGCACCGTTCACCAGTTTCCACGACACTCACCCTGCGCGGCGCCCCCACCACGCGTCTCCGGAACGCCCCCTGCCCCCGGCAG